ATTATTATTATTATTATTATTATTATTTCACAGTTTAGTTCGAGCGTTGGTTGATTCTTGTTGTTGTTGTGCGTTTTTTTGTTGCGTTAACACTTTCAAGCTGTTGTTTCCGCTCTCAAATGTTTTATAAGCATCTTAAGTGAATAGCTCTCAGCTGCTGCTTTCAATGTTCGCTGTTCAATGTAGATAACTTGGATAATAACTTCTTAATAATGAATGTGTGAAAAAATGAAAAAAAAAAAAAAAAAAATAATGATATAAAAATAATGATTTTTTTTTTTCACTTCATTTACCTCAAATGAACTTCACAATCACACATCTGCATATTCGAATGTGTTCATTATAATAATGGTGATTATATGGCTTTGAAATAATCTTTGAAAACCGGTTAAGTTTCTCGTCGGTTTTCTTCCCCTTTCCTCATTCAAATGAAATTTCTAACAAACTCTACGCGAGGACATCGTGCACATATATATATATGTACATGTATATATATATATAATCAAACAAAAGAAAAGTTATATCTGACATTGCAATAAATTTTGTGATTTCTTTGCTCTTGTTCGCTTCCATTTTTTTTTTTTTTTTTTTTGTTTAAGGCTTTGCTGCTGCGATGGCCTTTGAGACACCAAGAGCAATGCCATGTGAGTGTAGGTGTCACTGGTTTTTTTTTTTTTTTTTTTTTGGTTCACTCTACTAATATAAACGATCACTTTCATTAAGAAAGAAATAGAAATAACAGCCGAAAGTTATTTGTGTGCCGTCTGTCAATTGCAACGAACAACAATTATGCATACGTTTCGCAAAACATTTGTTCGCTATGCCCCGTATGCCATAAAGTTAAAAATGTCAAATCTTTCAAACGTTTACGAGACGTTATGAGTAAATAAGTAAATGCGGACATTGCGGTAAATTTAAACTGCTTTCCACTTAAAAATGTCCGTCCGTTCAGCCTGCAGGCTTGTTCGAGTCAAATTAAAAACAAATTCTTAGATGAAAAGTAAAACAATTTCAATGAAAGGTTCGATAGTAAAATTAGAAAGTTTCCATCAAAGATATTTGATCTGATTTGATTGCGATTAACGGTTTAAGTATTTTTGATACGTAGTGGAGGTGGTTTACTAGATTTGCTATATAGCTGCAAGAGTTGAATCTTTACTTGAGCAACTACGGGAACCAGTTTACTTAAGTTTAGTCTATCTGTCCTTAAAATTTCAAAATTTTGCTTATAAGGCAAATATGTCTCTTCTTCTTCCAATTCAATCAAGCTGTGAAGATTTTAGCTGGTCTGAGTTAATTTATTTAGTTATGCCTTTGCCGCGTCTTACCCTACGTTGTCTTGAAAAGTTTTTTATAAAGTCGAACAAATGAAAAGTGAAATCTTGGCTTTAACAGATATTGACCATAAATTTGCTTGAAAAGAACAACAGAGTCTGATAAGGCAGTGTAGTGATCCGCATCAGTCAATTAGTATTCTTGCAATTCTTGAAAAAAGCTTTGCGTTTATAAATAGAAATACTGTAGAGAGCTACGGTCCGCGATTAAATAGTCGTAGTAAAATTTTCCCTAAAATAGGAAGTGACTGAAAACGTGGTCCGATCCGAGCCATTTTCAATATCAAGGCACGTGGATATACAAAATTTCATCAGAATATCTCAAAAATTCCTGCCTGCAAGTTATGTACAAGCATGCCAGCTGGATAGACAAGCTTAGATCCTTTCAAAGAGTGTTCCTATGAATCGGTCATTATAATGAAAGGTGGATCTATCTCAAATACTTCTGGGTGTTGCGTACACCCGCATCCATTTAACATGTTCTTCTACAGTGATGTAGATTTTTTCTAATCCTGACTAAATAAGGGAAAGTAAAACGTTTCAAAGATTGCGAGCTTATATAGGTTCCTAAAGGTAGAAAACGTCTATCTTGTCATTTTTTTTGTTTAAAGTAAATAAAGAGTGATTTTTATTCAATCTGTTACGCATTCGAAAGAGCAACAATTAAAAAACGCTTTGCAAAAATTTTTATTTCAAAATTTTTTAAGTTCAGCTACCGAGGTCTTGTTATGAGAGACAGCGTATTTTCGGGGTTGATAGGATAACTCATGATAGCTTTATCTGAATTTGAAAAAGGAAATGTTTCCCTTTATTATAGATAACGTTTGCTTGCGAACTTATAGAAAATGTTTCGTTTGTTAATAGAGAAGTACTGGTCGCGATTGAACAAACGTTTCATAAATAAAAAGTCAGAAAATTATATTCAACTTGCGACCGATTCTTTAGTATCTGGAAAAATAGTTTAAAAGACTGAAGAAAAAACTAAAGACCGTGTACTCTACTTTACAGGATAGCGTATACCTTAGTTCACTGAATGCCCTATACGCTGTACCTCATGGCTTATAATCTTGAGCGAGCGTTGCTGGTATTTGCAATTCTTGTAGAATAGGCGTGGAAGCTTTTATCAAATGTGTCTATTTTAGTTTAATCGCAACGAGCAAAGCTCTGGAAAAGGGTGACATTTTGCCGTGGACTTGTCCGTCACGAACGATTTGAGCCATTGCCCATACTAATCTGCTTGAAAGAATTTCGAACATCTGTCCCAAATTTTCAATTTCGCGACAATGCAAATGTGTCCCTGCGACACTACACAGACAAATGGTCAGACGGACGAGTAGATATGCTTAAACTTGATTCTGAGCAAAGTATAATCAAAAGGATAAGGAGACATGCTTAAATCTTATATAGAATGCTCTCAGAAGGACAAGGAAACATGCTTAACATTTATACTGAGCAAGACATTATAGCGTCTCGAATACTTCATTCAAAGTGTTTAAAGATGCTTTCAGGAAATAAATACATAGCTGTCCTTCAACGATCGGTACAAAAAGGGATTTTTAAAATTTCAATGGGGTAAGTAACCTAGCAAGTCTATTCGCATACTTGACAATTGTTTACCTTACAATCATCCACATCTTCGAATCAAAACCAAGATCTATAGTACAAAGAAATTACCTCAGATACTAGGTTAACTGTAAATATTGATCATACTATTCCGCAAATATCTTGTAAAGATAAATGAAAAGTTCTTTGGAGGGCATTCGACTGATAATTTGTTCTTGTAGTAAAATTATCGAGTTAATAACGGTATCTTTTATTTTCCGTTCTTTTCTTTTCTCGTTTGCAGCCACTTCAGCCGTTCAACGCCTGGGCCAATTCATCGATCTTAATTTTCGGGATTTCGCTTATTCGCTTAGCAGAGCCGAACCTACTGAACAAATATGGCTAAAAATGAGAGAAAACTTTCTTTGATTAAAGTATTTGTCGCGTTACTGGCTTTAATAGTTTGCCAAATGACAGCAGCGGCCAATACGACTACGCCGACAGACCTTCCATCGAATAACAAAGACTTGTACAAGGCCGATGAGAATTTCGACTGTCCCGAAGATTGTCATTGCGTTTTGGCGCATCACACACACCAACCGTTCCTACATGCGAAATGTTCGTCGTTAAAAGGTCTGAAGTCGGAAGAGCCTCTTAAGTCTACGCTACCTATACATTCCATAGATTTGTCTTATCTGAATTTAACAAGACTATCACACGCTCTGGAGAAATTGCATGATTTGACCTCAATCAATTTGTCGCACAACGAACTGCACGAGATAGGACATCTGGGAAGACGCATTAAAAAACTCAATCTCAAACATAATCGCTTCACCTCAGCCAAATTGAGTAAACTGCCCGCTCATGTACAATCTTTAAATTTACAACATAACGATATCACTTACCTGCCATTAGAGTTCACAAAATTGTCGCAGCTCCAATCTTTAGAATTGAGTCACAATCAAATCAATTGCTCTTGTGAAACGCTAGAAGTACGTAACTGGCTGCAAAGGCGGCATGTATATATGGAACATCCTGTCACTTGTACATATCCGGCTAATGCGAATGGCAAACCCTGGCTGCAACTCAAACAGTCTGACATTTGTGAGAAAGAGAAGCATGGCTGGCATGCTGATGATGAAGAAAATGAATTGATGATGGGCGACCAGCCAATCGAGGATCCAGGAAATGAAGAAGGCAACGAGGAACTAGGTAAAGACTATTTGCCCATAGGTGCGGGATCGGGGAATGGTAAAAAATTTGATCAATTGAAAATGTCGGATGCTGTTGAAGGTTCTGGAGATTTAAGCGAAATTAATATACATTTACACACACCAATACTTGGACATATGGAGACTAGTTCGGAAACGTTAGGAAATCATGTAACCCACGAACCCTTATCGGCGAATGATGACGACGACGGTTCCGGTAGTGGTGATGGTCTATTGATTATACCGCATTTGCATCACCACAGTGTCGATCCTGATGATTTTGACGACAATGATATACCTGGGGATATATTCGGCGATGGATTGGGCATATTTAAGACATCAAAACCGCAAAGTACCACTGACGAACCCGTAAAGGAGGATTCGATAGTACCCGTAGAGCAGGATATCTTGGGCTCCGATAATGAACCCCGTGTGAAAGTGGTTACAGATGGTCCTGAAATAACTGAAAGTATTGAAGACGCCAATGCGGACAGTATTAAACATGCCAACGCTATGGCTGAAAATGGCGAGGACAGTAACGGCACTTACTTCCTGTTAGGGGTTGTCGTACTCATTATTGTAGGCCTTTTGGCTTATGTGGCCTTGAAACGTTGCAAAAAACGTGGGCGAGGAGGCAACGATGCCGAGAATCCACAAACTGAACTTCTGGACATGGACAAAAAACAACTAGGTAAACCAATACGTAACGGAGTACCCGAACATGTACCGTTAATAGGAGAGAAAGCCAAAACTGACTTAAATAAACCCATGAACGGTGCTAACAAGAAACCTTATGACGCAGGAGATGTAAAAGACGGATCAGCTCAACAAGAGCCGCTATTAAATGGCAACAATTCACCGCATTCTCCTAACAGTATAAGCGGTACGCTGCCTGAGCAAAAGAATACTACTGGTTCTAATGAGCCGAGCTTACACGCTCCCAATCACGAATATTATCCGATATCGCCACGTTACCCGACACCGCAATCGCCAAGAGCCTCCAAATACGGTCAACAGCAACAAGTACAAGAGCCGAACAACAACGACCCAGAAAAGCCATATTTATCCTCGTCACCGAAATCAGGTCGTTACTCTCCCGTTTATTCACCCGAAACGGGACGTGTTAAAATAAAGCTTAGCGAAACGCCCCGACCTAAAACGCCCATGCTAGTGACGCGTAGTCGATCAAATGCTGGTGAGATTATCACTACGCCAATACGTGCGGCACAGCTGTTAAACACTGCCACAGCAACACCCCTGCATACAGCTGCCACAAATGGTCATATACGCGATCATCACTGATTGTCAAGCATTAGTAGTGATTCTATGCAATTATAAGAGAAAACGTAATCAGAATGAAACGTAAAATGAATGAAGGAAGGACGAAGAAACGAAAGAAAGATGAATTAAAGTAAAATTTCTTGAGAAAGAAACGCTGTGAATAAGGTGCTTTAAGCGAAGAACTAAATACATTTAAAAACTAAAAGGATCATATAAGTAATAATATAAAAACTATATGTCTGTGTGTGCGCGTGCTTTGAAAATGTTCTCTACCTTTTCCTAAGATTTATTCAAGGCAAAAGAAAAAAGCTAACTGAAACCAGATAAGAGAAAGGACACCAATTGCTTAAGATATAGATTAAATAGTAAAAAAGAAAACAAAAAAATAGAAAAAAATAGTATTTTGTTTAAATTACTGAAGGCTTTGGATTAGTTTTTGACATAAGAATTTAAATTTATTTAAAGTTCGTTTAAATTTCTTATAAGTAGTTTAGCTGAGACGGAAACCGAAAGTGTAAGCCTACCATTGTCATTCATTTCATTTCATTGACAATTCTTTACATCGGCGCTTTACAGTGGTAGCAGAAAGAAAAGATTTGCACTAAAGCTTTGCACTAAGTAGGTTTCGTCTTCTGTCCCTTCTTCAAAGTCATAATTAGTTTCTTTTCAAAATGAAAATTATCATCCAAAAAGGAAATTTTATTCATACATGTTCAGCTAACATACATACATTGTGATGCCTTATATTCTAATAGAAACTATTAAAAACAGTGTTTCTAAAAAGTATTCGGACAAGCTTTGGAATAAATTCATTCTTTCTCGGAAAAAAGTGTGAGTAGTTGTAAGAAGAAATATATTCCCACTGGGTATTGGGGTAACGGTATTAAAGTCAAAAAGAAAAAAAAATCGAATTTTGGGTTTCTTAGTCTCCCAAAGCATTGTTCACTCCTTATTTAATAAAATTTCATGATTTAAAGTCTAGAAACATTATATGTTCGCTATCTTTCTGCTCTGCTCAAAAACTTTCGAAATTTTTGCTCATATTTTGACAAATTCATTTTTTGAGTATTCGAGAAAAAAAACTTAATTAGTAAGCTTCCCATTTCTTCAGAAACTGTCAATCAATTTCTAAAGATAATTATGAATACCTCTGCCATATTGTCGTACTAAGACAACATCTGCTACTAAAAATCTGCTGAAACTTCAGCTCTTGGGCCAAACATAGCTGTAAAAGTAAGATTGCTTTAAGGTTCGATATAAAATTTGATCCACATAATCGCACTGAAGCTTCAGTTCTCAGGCTAAGATTATGTATATATACACAATCAGCTTTGTAGACAATGTCTTCCGTGTTGAAGAAAGTAAAAAGCTCTCTTTTATCGATAGATGATGACACAGTTTAGTTTTCGTTCAACTCTGAATTCGTTCAATCGCTAGAATAGAAGAAGACTTGAATACCATTGCTCTAAGAATAATTGAAAACCTAATCCATAAACCTGCTTGAGATCTCAGAAGAAGTCTATGCGATAATTAAATTTTTCCTAAAACCTCTTTGTGATAAAGATTCTTCGCTGTTTATAGACGATGGTAGAGTTTAATTTTCAATCAACTGCTGAATAGAGGTAGATTAGAATACCACTAAGTGCACTAAGATTATTTGAGGTTAGATATGAAGCTTCAGTTCTTTTCTGCAGTTAACCTGGGCTTTAGTACATGAAGTAAAGTTTCTTTGCGGCAAAGTCGTTCGTACTGAAAAAAGCACAGAAACTCTTGGATGGATGAGGTTAGAGTTTAGTATTCATTTAAGCGCTGAATAGAGTAAGACTAGAACATGGTTAATTAAACCTATAACCTACAGATCGTTTGATTCTCAAAGCCTTTACTCGCATTTCCTGTTTCCGATAGTCGGACTTTCAACACAATCTTACTAAACTACTTATAAAAATCTCTTTCATTTTTCGATATTTATTTCTTGAATGAACGAATACTTTTGCGAAACACTGTTATTTAAAAATAAAATTCTTATTAAGATTTTAAGCTTAAGTATCTTAGTTATATAAATATATATAGATATATATATATATATATATATATATGTTTATATATAAAGATAAAAAATAACCTAAATAAAAAAGTTCACTTACTCATGGCTAACTAAACTCAGAGCGAAGATGAGCGCTGTTATGCAAACGACCAAAATGGAAAACAAAACATTGAAAAAAAAAAAACGAAAATGTGCCAATTAGTTGTGCCTTAACAATTATACAACAATTGTTAATTTGTTAAACATATTTTAACCGGAAAAATGAAAAAAAAAAAATTAAAAGAAATTTATGTATATTGCACTTGGATTAGACAGACATTTTATACAGAGGTTTACATAGAATGATTTTTTTTTTTTTCTTTTTGGGAAATTTTTGAAATTATTAGAGGAAGAAATTATTTTTTTACGCACAATTCAATTCAAAGAAAATTATGAAAATCTTAATTAAATAAATTTTAAATATTTATATGTGATAGGCCAAATAAAAAAAAAAAAATATTGTAAAAATTGTTTTTTTTTTTTGATTTAAAATTTTTTTTCTTTGGAATTTTTATTTTTTTAATTTTTTGTCTTTTCGTTTTCATTTTCATTTTTAGTTTTATTTAATTTTTCATATATATATATATATATATATATAAAGTAATAAATAAATATTTATTAGAATGTAATGCCAAAGTTATTAAAAAAAAAAAAGAAGAAAAATCTTATTAAACAAATTGTTAATGAATATCAATTTCAATGAATTTTATTTCCTTTTCCTATAGTTTTTACTACATATTAGTAATAAAAATGAATTATTATTATTTTCTTTTTATACTTTATTTTCATTTGATAGTTTATGTAACAAGAATAATTTTTAAAAATTTTATAAAATATTTCTCTCCCCCTCTCTCTGTCTCATCTTTAAATATTTAATTTAACAAAATTGAATAACGAAAATTGTAATCAAATGTTTATAAAAAATATAAAATCGTATTTATAATAATAATTATAAATAAATATTATTATTTTTTGCAAAAATACACACAAACGTTCTCTTCATTTACTACTAACAGAATACAGCACAGCGAGTATTTTACTTTCTTTTTCGCCTTCCAAGTTTCTCATCTTCTGAGCATAGTGTAAATGGAATAACATACGTAGACATACGCCTATAGAGGAGCATATCTTTTTCGCTTTTTGCACTCTTTACGCCAACTACACCAACTAGGGCATAGGAGCGTTCATGCGGACGTAAGCAATACCCAAAAGAATTTGAAATAGAGTTAACTTTCAGGGTCACTTTGTAGATCTTCCTTTCCAATTCTGTCTGACCGTCTTGTTCTCATGTATTCAACGTTTTGGAGTCACTCTGTTAGTCTGTCCATCTGTCCGTCTGTCCATCTTGTATTCTTCTCTTCAACCCACAGATCGCAATTTGCGAGATAGTTCGAAATACCGATCTGTTTCGACCCAAGGTCAAACGCTGCTGCATATAGTTCGGATCAGGCAATTCCTTCGACCACTTCTAATATAAGGCGTTCTTTCGAACAGCCATCTTATGAACGTCTACATAAAGCAAAGCGTTGTAGGGTATTTAATAATTGGTCGCGTCACGTCGCGTGTTTTTTTATTTGTTTCCTTAAGCTTAAAGGGCCTAACTTTATTGCGGAATAGTAGAACTCATGGAAAATCAAATTATCGTAGTCCGTTCTTTCCTTTTATTTCATCTCAATCAAATAAAAAAATTCTTACCTCTAAACCATTTACTTAATTGCTTTATATTTTTTATGCTTTAAACCATCAGTCGTATGAGGTTACATTATCTGTGTGCGGTGTAGGTAAAATGAAAGAGGACTTGAGATGGGTTCATCTTTTATGAAAACGTTCGATTCAAAATCACTTTCTGAATCGATTTAAACCCGTCCGTCCGTTTGTCCCTTTTCTTCAGGTCGTAAATTTTGAGTTAGTTGTCTCTTTATTTGGCTTTTTTTGGAAAATCCTTATGCGAACAGCCGGACAAAGGCAGGACATTTAATGGCAGGCCGCGATCCACTGAAGTTTTTTCATTTTACTCTTTTTTCTTTCAATTATCGCCAAATAAAAAATTATGTATAGGAACGCGCGGGTGAAACTATCGTCTTTAAAAAATTTACTTCATTTCTTAATTTTTTAATTTTTTATCTAGTAATTAAATTTTAAGTATCCAAACTTTATTTAGTTTAATCCTTTTGTAAGTTGTGTTAACACTTTCATCACTTCAAACTTTGCATTAAATTTTATTAGGTTTTCGTTATTATTATTATAAAATTAATTTGTTTATTACAAGTTTTTTTTTTTTTTTTTTTTGCTAAAAGCTGCAAATGATATTTTAAAAATATTTTAAGCTTATGGAGAAAAAGAAAACGATTTGTAAGGAGAGGTTTCGACAGAAATTATTTCAGATCCGACTTCAGTTGCTCACGTTTTTCTCAACCTTTGCCTCATCATTGGCCTTTTTTAATAAAAGTTAATAAAATTAAGCAGAATTATTATTATTTTTTTTTTGTGTAAGTGCTTTTAGGTAGTAATGGTTCAATTAGTCAGCTGAATAAATTTTTTTCTAACAAATGCTCCAATAATAACATAAATACAAACACAATGTGAACGTATTTGAGATTTGATGGAAGCTTTACATCATTTGAGATAGATTTTGGTTTAAGTTGATTTATGTATATTGTGTGTGTACATGTGTCAAGTGTACATTCGTTATTTATAAAATAATTTCAAAATTTATTAGTTTCCTAACACATCATAAAAAGCGTTATAAAATTACCTTGAATAGTATTATTGTAACGGTACGATTCTAAAAACTTGTTTGACATGTCAGCTTGTAATATAATATGTTCACTATTGCGTCAGCTGTATATTACCAGCCGTCAATGGTCAATGGTGATAGATGTGGTCACTTCAGAAGAGGAGCCTTAAGTTTAAAATTCGTTTATCCTAAAATGACAACCAGCGAAAATCTATTTTCAGCCGGCATGTTGTAACCATTGTGTGCTATTACTAGGCAACTCAGTCCTGAAGCTCTTTTAACAAAAAACAGAAACCTTTGGCAGCCACGTAAACTTACAAATGAACATAGAATAATTTAAATTAATTAACTTAAATGCACTTAACCCATAATCGAACTACTGGTGAGTTTAACACCCGAATTAGGGGAGTTTCTTAAAAATGCTGTTGGAACAAGTCCACAATGCTCAAACAAGAAATTGCCCCTTCAGGAAATGGAAAAAGATTCCGATACAGTATTAATGGTAAAGAAGTGGCGGCTGCTATCGAGCTTAAGACGTACTCGTGCTAGTTCAAAGAAATAACGATGAAAATAAGAGAATTGATAAAACACGGAATTATATATTTACATATATATAAAAGTAAAAAAAAAATAACAAGGTTTATTATTTTTATAAACTATACTTAACATATTCATATAATAATCCTTTTTAAAAAATTATATTATTAATAAATAAACTTTATTTTAGACTATCACATATATATATATTTTTCTTTGCCAATTACATTTCTGAAGTAAAAATTTGCTAAACATGGATTATCAACGATGTCGATATCGTCCAAAATGACCCACTTAAGGTCGTTTCGTATGTCCAAAGGCAAATTACTATATAAACCAAGCTGAATGAGCAAAGTTGAGTTGGCTATGATTATGATGATGATGATTATATCAAGCACTTGAATTGTAAATTCACTAACAAATTCGCTAGAAAAGCCGGCAATAATAAATAATTTATTGTGTTGAAATAATTATTGGGTTAGGCCGCACTCTCAACTGTAAATTGGTAATGAATGAAAAGTTTCCTTAATTTTTTGCTTATTCGACAGGCGCTCTTATATAGATTCACGTGATATAGGTGATTGTAGGTGACATTTTCTAGTTTGGAAACACTAGAGTCTCGAATTTGGGTGTTTTTTCATACCCACTTTTCGCTAACATACCAAATTTCAATAAATCGGTAAATATAGTTCCCCAACGAATATTTCAATAAATCCGTGAAAATAGTTCCCGAAGGGAAAGTGTCAATTTTTTTGGCTCATTCAACAGTAGGTTTTGTGTGGATTCGCGTGACGTAGATGAATATAGGTGATATTTTCTAGTTTGGACGCATTAGCGTCTTAAATTTGGGTGTTATCCCATATCGATTTTTATGTATGTTAAAGAATCTTTTTACGCACGAAAAATTATAATTAAAATTTTCAATGTTTAATGTTTTCTGGCTAAAAACCGTTAATTGGCTATGTAGGAATGAAGAGAGCGCAGAGTTGCTTGTAATAAATAACAAAAATAGACAAAAGTGGCAACGCATTCGTCATGAGCTCTGTCAAAAAGTCAAAGCACTAGCAGAATTCTCTGTTAAAAGGCAAAGCAGTAGCGTAATAATCTGTTAACCGCCGGCATTTATATCTGTTAAATTAAAACAATGTAGAACAAAATTGTAGCTGAATGAGTATGCAATAAAGCTAAGTTAACTATTTAAGACATGAACCATAGTAAAATGATGAGAAAGTTCAACAAAAAAAGCTTTTGTGACAGTTTGACTAGCGTTGGTACCTTGTTGAATGCAGTCATGTATTAACATCAGAAACAATCGACGCATTTTTTTTCTTTGCTTCTCTGCCAAACTTATTTGTTGTATATTTTTTATGGACGCCCCGCATGAGCATAATAATAATGTCTTTCTGAGAGTAAACAAGCAAGAAAAAACAGTACAACCGCAGAACGAGATATGGTTCTCTCGCTTGTTAAACAAAAGAATAGCTACGCTATTTTTCAATGTGTTTGCTAAGAATTTTAGACACAAACCGAAAAGATACCACAATTTTTGCTACACTACGGAATTATACAACATTGCCAGATTTGTTCGCCTACATTTCGAAATAATAAATCAAAAAGAAAGCAAGTACAAATTAATCGGATTGAAAATGAGAATAGAGTCCAAATTATAGGTAAAAGTAATTATTTGCAACTTTTTTGTATATCCAGGCGGTAGATTTCACGATTTTTAATTGTCCTGATTACTGGTGAGCAACAAGTGTATAAGCAAACATTTGCTAGAGTTAATGTATCCGAAGGTCTACTAAAATTGTAAACTTGTTTGCAAACAAAGCTGGACTCTTTAATATCGTATTAAAAGCAATTTTGATTTTGCGCTGGACCGGGCACTGATCTGAATAAAAAAATAAGAAAATCATATGCTGTCGGAAAAGAATTACTTATACTCATGATTTTTATCTTTAAGAAAAAGGAGAAGAAGGAATTTTCAATATTTTGTAACATTACGAAGACGTGGCTTTTTCTTATAGTGCTACTGCAAGACCATCCATATAACCTACGTATAAATTTTTACAGTTATACCTGTTATGATTTGTAGGTAACAAGCAAGGAACCCATTTTTTCTGCTGTTGAAAGGAGAAAGAGGTGTTAGAGCACATAATATTTTTAGGTCTAATGGCTTAATAAGGGAACACAAGTGCATATAGCTGCCCATGCTTAGCTACTTAGCTTAGGATTTGAACCTGCGACCACCCACTTGGCAGTTGTGAATTTTATTCCGTGGGCTAAACAGTGATCTCTGCCGTCCTCTCTGACCGATTTGGCTCATTCTCAGTATCAACGTATACCCAAGAGCTTTCAATGTTTCTGTTAAATTTAAAACCGATTAATTTTTGCGGCCGGCACAGTTTTTACCAAAAGACATAACACAGATGGACATACTTAGATCGACTCAGTTGTTGATATTGATTAACAATGTATATGCATCCTAAGCTTAGCAATACATTAACTTTGTCGTGCCGTTTAGGAAAGAAATTCGACCAAATCGTTTTACTCTATTCCTATATAACCGGCACAATCACAGATATTAAGAAGTTCGAAAATGGAGATGATTCTTAGACCGGAAAGTAGCGCTTAATACATGCCTTAGGATGATCTACAATCAAAATTGACTGAAATACTTCTTATAAAACATTAAGTAAAAACACGGTAGTGAGACACGGTGCAGCAGTAAATGCCTACGTCAATCCGCTTCATATAATGATTATTCAAAGTGCGATATTATATGGGGAGTTGGCGCACCCAATTTCATTAAAATATATCCGCCGGTTAAACATAGGAACACAAGAGGTGCGGACGGACAGACAAGCTCGAACGGTACCATAAAAATTGTGTCTACTTCAAGCCCTTCCGAGTGTTCAATACTTCTGCACAAAGCCAATATATGCTCGCGCTGCAAGTAGTGTAGGGTAGAAAAATGGGCCTTACTTGCTGTTTTCTTCAAATTAAGATCGACTTACACACTTACGCTTTATTCTATTATATAAAAATATTTAATACTAATTGAAACAATTACTTAAAAAACAATTTAAAATAAGGTCTCACGCATTGACTTATGAACCACAACCATGGGTTCTTGATCAGAAGAGGAGCCATCATATACGTCACGGTATGCTTTCGCAGTATCATGACTAGATGTGTTTGCTGCCTTTTTACGCTTAGGACGCAATAAATGGACTTCAGTCTCTGATCCGGACGAAGTCGTACTATGACTATCTTTTAAGGAACGAATATCTGGGTCAACGACCACATGAAAATCACTGCCTTCTCGTGAATTTGATGGAGAGCCGTGAGGCTTATCATAATAATCCTCAATCGCTGGCGGCAAAGGCCTTTCGATTGTTTCCGACTTGATGTTTTTCGGTTTGCGTTTGGCGAACGGACTATTAGGTTTACTGGTGAATGTCTCGTAATCGTTATCGGTAAAAAATTCCACTGAATCGGCCTTAAGTGTCGCTCTCTTAAAAGGTGGAATTTCTGCAATTTTCGGTTTCCTTTTCGTATACGGACTGTTTTCGTAACTTTGAAAATTGGCGATTTGTTCGGCACTTTGTAAATTTTGAGCTTTCAAGTAAGCGGCAGGAAAGCGATTGTCGTGTTTATTAAAATGACGAGCAGCAATCGAATTGCTGCGACTACGCTCCGTACGACGGGAAGGTTCAATTCGCACTAAACGTTCGCGATCGCGATTCGATAGCATTTCTTCGCTATGAAAACGCAAATGAAGATCCAAATTTAAGGCGACCTCTTCTTCCGTCTCGCCATTGTCATCTTCTGGCGAAGTGAGAAGTTTTCGAAGTGATTTTCTGCGACGATTAGTTTCTGATGATAAATCCATTAAAGATTTCGCCGACCGTACAAAACGAGGCTTGGGCATATGTAAAGCATCTTCGTAGGAGGGTAAATTAGTCTCATCCGCGCTGGGAGCATTAGGCGCGGCCTCCTCACTTAGAATGCGATGATTCAAGCGACGTCTGTGAAAAAGAGTTGAATTTAAATAAGTAACTCTGAGAGCCCCCTAGAATTTCAAAACTAACATGGCTCTCATTTCTTCCTGATTGCCGCGATACTCTTCCATATTCAGCCATTTTCGACGGTAGACCATATACCGTTGAAAACAGGCAAAGAGAAAGATTAATGCAGCAATTATTAGCGCGCTCGAGAAAATGATTGTCCAAAGTTTGGCGGCCGTGCTGGTATTTTCATTTGTATCGACAAGCCACTCTAACCCGCAAGCCGATTCCCATGTTTTGCCATAGTAGTGAGCTGGTGAGGCACATTTTAAGTTCCTTTTATCTCTGATCTTAACGGTTCAGTTTGCGAAAACAAGTGAATAAATAATTTTATATAAGGAATTTTTCGAAACTTACTTTGCTTGGCTGCCTTGTTAAGTAAGCATTAAACTCGACAAATACTGAATCCTGGCAATTGCAAATCCATGGATTATCACCTAACCAGATGTCATCAAGAAATTTATTCCGCTTAAAGTAGACGGTGGGAAATGGATTAGTGAAACGATTGCCATTCAATTTCAAACTCGCCAGCTCCGGAAAAAACTCGAATGTTGTGTTGCGCAAACTCGATAAACTGAATAGAGCAGAGTTTTAGTCATATTAGGATAAGTTCTGGCATTTTTGTCCGAAAATATAGTATACATTTAATAAAATTTTTATTATTATAAGATATAATCCTTGTGCTAGAAGAGTGTATCAAGCTTGAAAGAATTTATACAACACCCACAGAGACTGAAGATAGACTCGCGTGTTATTATACCGATCCATTCAGACTCAGTTTGTCCATTTCTCCGTCTTGTTTTGTTATGTTCAACCTACAGGCCGAAAATTTTTAAGACATTTTGATGAAATTTGGTACAACGACGTTTTTTTCCCAACGACAAACACTTTTCAAAAGGGCTCAGATCGGTTCACTATTTCGAACAAACCGTATATAAAGACTTTTTAAAATAAGGGAAAATGGGAAAAAATTGGAATTTTCAAAATTTTTCGACAAAGGTCTCTGTGCAAAGGTATTTCCGTATTCTAAATTGTTTACAAAAATTTTGGTTTGGCTGGGACAATTTTTTGAACACCCTCTCATACAACCATTCCTAAGAAAACTGAACGTTTGTATGGTAAAAAGGTTTAATTTTCAATATTTAGTTGAAAAAATTATTTCATAAAAGCAAATTGAAATAGAAATTAACCCTGTCGGAGAAGGCCGAACTGTAAATGTTTTGAGATTAAAATATGTAAAAATAAAGTGGACCCAGTTTGAAACACATAAGTCTGTGTCTTAGACCCCACTCCGTAAAAAATTTCTGAAGAATAGTAAGCCCTTTAGAAAAAGATTTAATTTTTAATATTTTATGGGGAAAATTAGTCAGTAGTGGCAATTTTCATTTGTTAGACCCTAAGCTATACAGGGCCTATTATGAAAAGCAAGCCATTATAGGGAGGAAAGATCTAATTTCTAGCTCTTTACGACGGAAACTGAAAAATGATAAAATTTTTTCAAAGTAAATTAAATTTACTAACTTCGACTTATGTTATCTGCTAAATTTGGCCAACCACCCATGGGCGGACCTTCAAAACTATGCTTTTGCAGAAAAATAATATAAAATTTAATTTTTACACTAGGCGAAGCGGTGTGGGGTATCTAATCGCTGTCCCTGGCCGACTATATTCGTCTTATTATTACATTTTTTCTCTCTTTCTCTCTCTCTTTCCACTTACCGGCAGTTACTCAAATCCAATTTCTGTAAAGTATCGGAAGCCATGTTGTCGGGAAAATCTTTAATTAAATTCCTAGACAAGTTCAACTTTTGCAGATTATTTAAGCCCGACAAAGCATTAGCATCGATTTGTATTATCTCGCACCAAGAGAGACTGATGTCCCGTAAAGAACTCGAAACCAAATTTGTAAACTTTTCAATAGTATTTCGATTTAAATTTACTGAAACCAATTTCTCATTATAGCGAAAAACGTTACGATCGAGACGAGTCAGTTGATTGTAAGCTAAATCCAAATGCGTTAACTGTTTTAGTTGAATGAATGCCTCCGAATCTATGGAGCGTAAGGAGTTGCGCGACAAGTCCAACATTTCCAATTGCGAATTATTTTGAAATGTCCTCGATGTAATAAAATTTAACATGTTTCCTTGCAACTGTAAATGGCTTAAAGACGAAACTTGAGAGACATCGATCGCATCCAATGTGCAATAGGATAAATCCAGTTTACGAAGCGTCGTCGATTTCAGAGACTTAAACACTTCGTCGCTTAAATCCGTGTTCCAGGATAAGTTTAAAAATGTTAACATCGGTAGCTCGGACATAAAAAATTCTGGTAGGAATTGTAAGTCACAGTTACTCAGTTCTAGACCTAATAAGCTGGACGAAGGCAATACATCCAATGAATCTAAAGAATTGTTATTCAAATTCAAATATTCCAAATTGGGTAAAGCCTCCGTTAGTATATCGCCGCCAACTTTCTTTATGCCACAACCTTGCAATTCCAAATGTGTGAGCGAATCACTCGTCAGCATTAGAGAGCTCTCATCGTCATTGAAGAATTCAAATTGATTGCCATTTAAACTTAAATGTTCCAAGTTAACGGCGTTAAGAAGAATTTCGTCGGGATTTATATGAGACCATCGTGTTATCATGTTATTGTTCATTAGCAAAGTTCTGAGACCCGTAAAGCTCGATAGAGCAATTGGTTCCAGATATTTGATTAGATTATTGGATAAGTCCAGATAAATTAATGTTTCGTGAGCGGATAATTCGTGAGGAAAATCCTCCAATTTATTGTGCGACAAATCAAGAACTTCAATGGGTATTATATCAAAATCGGGACTTTCGCTTAACTCCTGATGAGCGCAATTCACCTCGAGACTATCCAAAATCCACGTACATTTACATAGCGTTGGGCATGTAATACCTGCAGTCGAGGCGATGAATAAATAACTGATTAACAGTATCAAGATATGTTGCACCTTGATGGCCGATAAACTAAAACATATAGCCATAACTTATTATTGGAAGGAAATAGTCTATAAATAAAGAAGAAAGGAACGGAAGCTTATTAATATTAAAAATAATGTTTAAAAATTAAAAAAAAAAACTTTTAATCTTGATTTATTAAGATATAGCAGAAGAAGGCTTCTAGAAGAAAACAATATAATCTATTAGGGTATAAGCAGCCGATATCACACTATGGAGTTAGTTGTTGCGGGCTCAAATCCTAAGTGCAGTGGAGTTTACTTTGGACGCAGTCAAGTTGGTTTATCAAGTTTCAGCGGAATATGATAAAAAAAAAAAAACGCGGACAGACGGACAGACAAGCATAGATCAACGCAAAATATGATTCTGAATCGATCAGTATAAGAAAAGTTGAATCTATCTCAAATCCATCTGAGTGTTGCATACATCCCCACAACCTTGTCCCGCAAATAGAGTAGGATATAAAAAAGATGGTTATATAATAAGATATCTCAAATATTATGATTGATAGTTTGAACGGAAGAAACAAAACGGACAGAAGGACAGACGGACGGAGAAACTTCGACAAAAAATATGTTCATAGAGCATTGGTCTACCGTATGGCTGAGCAGAGAAGGGTCGTCGACATCAAGCCGACGGGTTCAAATATCCGAGTCGTTCGGTTGATCGTTGCTTTAGTGAGAGCTCCGGCATATATCCGCTAAGCTAAAGTCAACACTTCCCTAGATACTACTCATGCCTCATTTCTTTCTAATTGTCGCCGCATTACAGGGGCAGAGGATGGGTCATCGGTCATTGATTGGTCATATTAAAGGGAACTTGAAATTTTGGTCTTCATATTAATCCTTAGATAATTTAAAACAATATCTTACGCCTCATTTGCAAAGAAAACTGCTCACGACGACCTGGGTATTCCAGCATCTAATTCATTGTCTTTCTGAAGAAACATCTTATAGGGAATTTTCCATTTGAATTAAAAATTTATTTTTGTTCATTAAATTATTTTAAAGAATTCTCAAAGTTCCTAGAGTTTCTTTTTATTTATTTAAAAATAATATCTGTATTGCTATGCTGTTCCCATTGCGGGACAATAACCTCTTTTATTTGTCGCACCTTACCATCACATTTACTTATTATCTTTTTGGATACGTTGTAAACTAAACATGTGTTAAAAATGTATGCAATAAAAAAAAAAGAAGAAAATAAATGTATTTATGTATTAAAAAGCAGCAGAGCTAATTATTAATATAGCGAGAACAAGCAAACTCTTGCGAAACGAGAAAATATTAAGCCCATTGTAATTCATAGGAAAACGCAAAACGTTCTATTTGTATTATTATTATTATTATTATTATTATTATAATTAATTCAGTCAGAGATGACTAAAGTTTTAAAACTCCAGCATCTAATGCTCTCAGCTTCATTGCAAATTCAAACGTTATTTGAGATTTGAGCGCACGATGATTAGTCGAGTCCCTTTGTCTACTCGGCCACCCAGGCGTATGAAGAACATTGGAAGAGAAGTAAGATGCAACTATTGATCTAACCTATCAATTCTGAGTGAAGTATCTAAGCTCATGAGCAGCGTGTTTGAGATAATATGACAAATTTTACAGGAGGCGAACAACAACAATAATAGGAATGTTACTGAAATATTGGTCCTGGTGTTAGTGAGAAAAATTCTGATCAAGCTTAAAATTCTTGTTGCTCTGGTCTACATTCATGCATTTTTGATGAGTAAACCATAATTAAAATGATTCCAGAAACGCTTTTCAAGGTTGAAATTAATTACTTGGAAAACTGATAGGAGTAGGTGTGGGAAGCACGTATACGAATTGTAACATAATTTTTCCATCCCGACCACCCAAAATTGTGGATATATCTTCGCGATGCATCTTCTTACGCATCCTGGATTAGATTATAAAGCATATATGTACGTAACACTAAAAAAACTAAGAGAGAAGACTAGGGGTCTCTCCGTCTGAGATTCGCTATTGAAAAGCTTGCAGGCATAAAAACAAAAACACAAGGCATATGTAGCTCAGGTACGGTTCAAAGCCAGAGAGTTAGCTTGGAACTGGTGGAGAGTAAATCTGTTTAAACCGTTCAGGTAGTGCGCAACGCTATGCTCGTCAAAGATAATACAAACAAGAAACCCTTAGAGGAAACACAAATTATATATGTGCACGTACTTTGTCGATGTGAATATGGGAATTGTATAGTTATTAAGTTCTTTAGTTTGCGGCTATGATTATGAATTCAAATTTGTTGTCTTAGATTCTCTTCGTCTTCGTTAATAAAGCGTTCCCGTTAACGTGTAATGTATGGTATATGCGACAATTCACTCTTTAGTGTGTTACGGAATGCTACCTTGACTGCAATCAACAACTTTTCTATCTCTTTCTCTTTCCCCACTTCCTTCTGACCGTTGGCCTAGGGGCATCCCCTGAGCGATTGGTCATATTAAAAAACAAAGAAAAAATAAGTGTGTTATGTTAAATGCGAATAACTATGCAGTGCCCTGCTCTGCGAGAGAGAGAGAGAGAGTGAGAGAGACATGAGCCATTACACTTTAAGTACAAACGCGGCATACTTTGAAATGTTGGTACAAGTTGACATACATTATGTATAAGGGGTTTTCATCGCCTATGTCTGAAAAGCATTTTCATCTAAGAGTCCGCAGTAATGAATTTCAAATAAGATTTTTTTTAAAACAATCGTTCTGGCATTGCTCAAAGCTATTGTAGATGTCGCTTGCTGTTCGCTCTCCTTCAAGTGCAGTGCTTTTTAGTGACATACACTGAATGCATTGTTCATCTAGATGTTCGATGCCCAAACTGAGTTCCTAGAAGTGCGATTATACCCATGGATATGGCGCCTTTGCGGATAGTTTTAAAGGTAAAGCCTCGTTGTCGATTTCAATCGGCCTTCTGACACTCCTACAATTGGCAAAGGTACGCATGTATCGGTGCATGTTCACTTCGTATTGCGCAAGCAAATTACAAAAATTTCGTTTTCGCGGCAACATGAAAGCGCTTGAATTGATTTTTGTCATTGTTTTGTTTTTGCTTATTATGGAAATCGTTCTGTTTACGGTAAATGGGGCATTTTCGAAGAAGAAAGAAAAACAAGAAGCGCAACACATGTAAAATGAAATGCGTTTGTTTTAAATGCTTCCTTTTGCGTTTTTCATTCATAACAAAACGAGGAAATATTACTTACTTACATTGTGTGTAAATTCTTGTGTAAAAATATTAATCATATTTTTTTATTATTTTGTTGTTTTTTTTTTTTTGCATCTTATCGCTTTAACTATCGAACCTTATCAGTTAATAATAAAATAAAAATAAAACCAAAGCATAGTTATCTTCGGCATAAACCGAATCTGTTCATACTTGTCTTCTATAGAAAAACACATAAAAGTTTGTGTTGCTTTTAGAATTTTTGCTTAAGGTTTTTCTGATGTTATCATAAGATAGGTAAAGATTTGAAGGTTATATTAAAATATTTGTGTAAGGCTTGTTTAACACACTTATGTTGCACAGTGATACCTGAGTATCTCCAAATTAATGCAAAGATATGAAAAGCGAAAGGCAGATAAGCAAGTAGCGCGGGTCACCTAAGCTTAATGTAAAAGCAAAAGAGAGAGAAAGAAAGAAAGAAAGAAAGAGAGAGAGAGAGAGAGAGTGTGTGAGAGAAAGAAAGAAAGAGAGAGAGTGAGAGGGAGAGAGGGAGAGAGAGGGAGAGAGAGAGAGAGAGAGAGAGAGAGAGAGAGTGAGAGAAAGGGAGAGAGAGGGAGAGAGAGAGAGAGAGAGAGAGACAAAGAGAAAGAGTGAGAGAGAAGGGTAGGATCAAAGGGAAGTTTTACGGGAGAGCGAGATAGCAGGTGTGGGGAAATTTTGAAATATTTTATCGAAAAAACACAACAAAAAAACAAGAAGCGATAAACTGTTGCTTGTCTTTGATATTAACAAGCTTTCAATTCTTACTTCTCTTAGTTGAAGACAACTATCATAATTATTATTAACTTTTGTTTTTTTGATTAATTAATATTTCGTTTTTTTTTTTTTTTTTTTTATAAGTCGCTTAACGAAATGCTTCACATTTTTGTTTACTTTTTTTCTTCAATCACACAATTTTCGAAAGTTTTCTTTCATTCAATAATTGTTACTATTATTATTATTATTATTATTATTATTATTTTTAGTTTATTTAATTTACCAACAAATGTCTTGTGTTCTTGTTAAGCTCACTTTTAATACTGCACAACATGAACGTACCTGCTGCTCTTGTGCCGTCTGAAGAATTCTCAAATCTACTGATTTTACACTTCCAGTCGAACTGATAAGATAAGAGCAGTAGCACTATACATTATATATATATATACATATATATATATATATATGTATTGTTCTTGTATTGAACATAGGCAATGCTTTCGTAAGCGTTACAGTGTTTTGCGAATTACTTCAAGTAGTTAATTATTTCATATTTGAGAAATGTATTAACGAAAAGTCCATTATTCGGTTTACACCTCTCACTATTCAGTTGTCGTACGAGACGAAAGCGCCACGAGTTCGGTTTACGGTTCTCATTATCGAGCCAAAATCGAAGTCAAAATCCAATTTGCGTTTTCTTCACAACAGCTCTGCCCAGTTCTTATGCCCTGTGTTAAATATATCTACCGCACTGGACACTAAAGGATACATTCATTTAGCACATTTAATTATGTAAGGAGTCGGTATTAAGAGTGCTTCTTACGGGTATCTAGCTTAAGGGTATTGGTCGTGGGGAGAAATGCATTTTAAAACTTGAGAAAAAAGAGAAACAAATCGTGCTCTATTTTAAGGTTTAGACACCGCAGTAAAGAATGTGGAAAGCGGTTTCAAACTCACTGACGTACACGATGTCTTCAATTGTGAATCATTCCGTTCAAGATTAGTTGCATTATGCCTACAAGACTGCCAGATGAATGTTGGCCTCGAAAACTTTTTAGGTTATTAGCGTAGATCTCAGTTGTTCGAAAGAAAAATGTCCAGCGCAGCAATGCCGCAGCCTGAGTGAAAATATGGTGATAGCAACGCAATTGCGTGATGAAAATCCCATGAGTGTCCGTGCACAAGACAACTGCCATTTTGTGTAGATGTGTGCGATCTTTAAACATTCAGGAGTCGTTAGTCACTATGCGATGAAACTGGAAATTACGCTTGATAATTACTCACCCGGAAGTCCACACTTTGGATTGGAAATTAGAATTTTAACGAAAGATGCTTTAGACCCTTATACATATGTGATCAAACAAGAATTTGTTGCACTCAAATTATTGCGAAGAAATCAAGTATACGCAGTGCGTGCCGTCCTTACTCCTTGCCTCACAATAAAACTACAATTCAACAAGTCCGACAGCAGATGTTCTAAACTTTCCTTTAGGCTTTACACTTTTATACAAAATATTACAATGAGTGGACTCAAGTTTCATCGATAAATAGCAAATTTTCCCAGAAATTTCACACAACGACGAGAAAAAGCCTCAAAAGTATTGGAAGTTGACCGCTAGTAGACTTCTTTGCCATGTACTCAGGTACTCTAGACATTAAAACGCTAACAACTTGTGCTGGGCGTGTGCGTGTGTACGGTGCAACCCTACAACAAGAGTATGGCTTTGCTGCGTCTATATTAAAAATGGGTTTAAAAAGTTTGGTAACAGTCCAGGAACTATCTATAGTACAAATGTCAAAGGCGTTGTTGTGGACGTGTGAAGGGGACGCGGGTGTCCGTATGCCAACCATAAAGACGTCTTGCATGTACTTTTCATTATATGCAGAATACGTTTCTACGTGCATCGGAGGCCAGACAGTTGCAGGTGTTCACTATTTGGAGTATCGCCTGAAAATTAAATATTGTCGTGTTATGTAAGGGCAAGAGTTTGGCCCATAACTACTCGCTCATATTTTGCACCTTACTGGTAGTAGGACCATGCTCGTAGTTAGCGGAGCGGGCACATACCGTCGATCCTCTTGAGAATTGATTTTCTTTTATGTCTGTCCGTCCTAGTTAATGAGCGCTCTTATATTAAATCTGTAATGTCAGCAAGATAAGGGCCATCAGGATGACTTGAATCGTCCGGTTGCCGACAAGCTAGGCCACAATGTATGAGTAAGCTCTAGTTTGTCCTGTGTACGTCTACTAGCTATTTAAACTAAGTCACAAAATGCTCAACCACAAGAGCGGAAGTGAAAGTACGTAAGAATTTTTGGGAAGCCATTCTATTGAGCTTTTAGGTAAACTGGGAACAATCTTTCTAAAGTACTCTAGTTTTAGAAAAATACTTTTCGTTGTTCCGACTTTTCATAAATAATCATTCTAGGGATCTCCCTTATATGCAGCAGGAGTAAGTGGGAAAGAAAGAGAGGTCGCAGGCTGGCGAGAGACTGATCGATAAGTGTTATGTCTTTGTACAGCTACGACCAACTTAAAATAGGCTCTACCATAGGGCTAAGAAGCAGACTTGGGTACGTCAACTTGACAGGCGTCCTTCTCAACTATTTGGCGAGTCATTGTCAACAATCGAAGGACGCTTTTAGTCGGTTAATCAGCAGACATTTACTTATATAATTCATTCACGAATATCGGGATCAACTTCGAGGTAAACGCCTTTATCTTACTATTTATCGAGTTCAGATAAGCAAACATCGCGGCGTGCGGAAGAATAAAGCAAAGAGCAGTTGCAACTAAGCCATCTAACCTATTAAGTCCAATTAAATCTATCTATTTATAGGTATTAAGAAGAGAAAGTTGAACAGTGACGATTGCAGCGAAATTCTAGAAAATAAGCTTTCCCGCATAATGTGTACACATACACATACACATTACATAAACAAGAATAAAAAGAAAAGAAAACTTAATGCCTCCTTAGCAAAATCAAAGAAAAAAAAAGCATTTTACATTTACTTTGAGTGTAAAACAAAAAAATAAAAAAAAGAAGAAGAAGAAAATAAAATAAATTGTATTAAAAATATTGTCAAAAATTCCTTAAAAGTGCGTTATTTTTAGGATTAAGTCAGACGAGGAAGCTTTTGCCTAAAGAATGTGATGTGATGGATGGTAAGGGAGAATGAGAACGCAAGAGAGTGAGGAAGAAAGAAGGAGACTTCTTAAGAAGAAGAAAAAGAAGAAGACCTACTTCCTACTTACGCACAAATCAATCGATTGACAATAAGAGTTTGTCGTAGCATAATAACATGGCTTGGTGGGGGGAATGGGGAATGCAGGGGTGCAGGAAGGACGAGAGTGCGATTATGTAGAGGAATTAACTTGTGTTTTCAACTGTTACGGTTCACATTGTGGCTTAAATTTTATGTTAAGCATAAGGGACGGAAGCAGGCAAACAGTTTGTTTAACGTTTAGCATTTGTAATGCCGCTAATTATCCTCGCAATGACAATCGCGCATCGCAATCTTTTTTTACTTTATGCTTTACGCTTAAGGTCTCTGTGGTAATAGAAGTGCTTCATTAATATTTTCTATTTTCTAAGGTTTTTATGGGAAATATTTTTGAAAAGACCTCATAGACCATCCATCCGCACAATAATAATAATAATAATGAGAAGAAGAAGAAGAAGAAGAAGACGAATGCATGAATGAATGAATGAATGAATAAAACTAAAGGCAACGTAAAGACTCTATGAGTTTTTGCTCGTTTATCTTTGGCTAAATAGAAATCAATGCGTTACTAAGCGAAGAAGAAGGAAAAAACGAAAAATTGAAAACTTTTCCTCGTTTAATAGTTTTCTTTTTTGTTGCTTTTCATTGCTTAAGAAATATTTCCTTGAAATTTGTTTGTTTGTTGCAAAGATTTTTCGGTGACTGACTTGTACCGTCTGTCTGCCAACTGTGGCATTAACATTTAAGCTGTCTTGACTTCATCAACGCTTACACGCATCCGTTTTACATTGCTGTTCGGTGACAATTCCGGTTTTCCCCTTCTTCCCCGAATATTCTCTTAACCTTAGCTAGCGTAATAGAGTCTTACTTATATTATTTCTACAATCATTTTAGTCATTTATTTTTCTGTTTCGTTGTTTACTATTACCACTACTAATACTATTACTATTACTACTACTACTACTACTACTACAACTGCTACTAGAGTGATTCGTTATCCAACCATGTTGAAGTCTTCAAACCTTTCTGCAGCGCATTCTTAAAACTTTATTTCTTGATATGTCTTAGGTCTTTACTATCTCTTCGTATAATGCATTTACTAGTGACTGCCTTCAATTGTCATTTATGTTTCTCATACGCTTCATTACAATAATTCGTGATGAGTTGTACTTGCAACAGTTTTATAATAAAAGTCGGAACACTCTGTATACACATTACCTTCAAAATCAACATCTTTTTCTCACTGATTTCCTGCACAATGAACTGTAATGTTGAGCGTAGCGTTACGTCAACTTTTAAAAGGAAATGTTATGCGTTTCTTTTTTTTTGTGCCTTCGGTTTAGAGTTGCTTTTGAAAATTTTTCTGGGGGGGGGGGGGGGGGGGGGGGGGGGGGGGGGGGGG